GTGCTGCCATATTCACGTCCTGCTTCCATGCGCCTCTGTGCTGCCGTATTCACGTCCTGCTTCCATGCGCCTCTGTGCTGCCGTATTCACGTCCTGCTTCCATGCGCCTCTGTGCTGCCGTATTTCACGTCTGCTTCCTCGGCTCAGGCAGTTCCTGTGGAGTTTCCGTCTGCCCGGGGAGGCGCAGAAGATCGACCGCATGATGGAGGCGTTTGCCATGCGTTACTGTGACTGCAACCCCGACATGTTTCAATCCACAGGTGAATCAGCCACTGCCTCATCACTAACAAGCTGATCTTCACCAGCACACAGGCTCAGGGACAATGGCCATTGTGAGAAAATTGAAATTAGGTCCATTAGTGAAGTGAAAATTGTGTATTTTAGGTTTACTGTTTGGCCAGTGGCAGACATGGGTATTTAATCTGCCCAGATGAATTTTATTTTGGAGAGTTTGTGTCATCAGCAGAAAATTAAACATTTTGTGATCCAAGAAAAATGTGGAACATAAATATTATTCAGGATGGATGCTATTTCAGTTTAGCCTCAGTAAGACATAAGCAATGACACTCTCCAGCATACCCGAAAATGAAAAACTCGTGAGTGACAACCATTGTCCAACAGAGTCACAAAGCTAACATTTAAAGAGCTTGTCATATTAGTGTTCTTCCTCTTTGTCTTTCTGTTTGCTTAGATTCCTTCGACTGCTTCAGCTTGTGACATTTCCATGAATTAAATAACTTTTAACACTGTTTACCCTGAAAAGCAACGATGTAGTCATTATTATTGCATCAGCCTAAGACATTCTTAGGAGACTACATTTTTGCAATGTTAAAGCACAACACAGGATACTGTACATTATTGTAATCCTGAAAATAGGTATTTTTACAAAAATATAATAATAATGACACATAGTCCAAATGTTCTGTGAAATGCTATGTTCCCACTTGTATAACCATGTCTGTTCATGTAAGGATTAGCAGAAGGTAGGCTTAGCATGTAGCGCATGTAGAAGGCAGATCTTTTTGTCTATTGCACGTATTGCACACTGCATTGCATGCATACAGTTTGTCTATTGCACGTATTGCACACTGCATTGCATGCATACAG